TGACATCTGACTATGTATAAATAAGACGGTTTGCATGTTTAGACAAGACGCCTGAAGCAGTTTGCAATTGTTTCTAATAGTTCTAACTTATATACTTCAAGTGTCAATGGATAACCGATTTTAGACACTCATCTGTCTAAAATTCTCTAGATCGGACAATTTGCACTGATGTTATCAGGCGTTGGGTATCTGTCTTTTCTAGACACTTCAACTAATTTGAGACTTACTGATTCTGGAATGGTCATATAGTCACATATGAACATTACATATAAGAAACGAAAATTTTAATAAGGTTTTTTTCCTCATAAATCCTTTTGTTAGTTGGAATTCAACCCAACAATTTAATGAAAGAAATTTTTGAGAGTTTAGTGATTTTTCTTCGAACCTTTCCGAAAATGTGGAAAAAATATCATTGAATATTGAAGAAATTTGATTTAGTTATTGGTTAAATTCCAACGCACAATAATACTTACGAGAAAGAAAACTTTATCCAAATATATCTACATTTGGTCTTCATATGAGATCGTATATCTATTCTAGAATCAATAAGTCTCAAATAAGCTAAAATATCTAGAAAGAGCAGATCTCAGAGAAATGTACAAGAAGATTTCTTCAAAAACATTGAAGTGCAAAACCACATAAGCATCTTTCACATCTGTCTATGCCTATTACATCTGAAATTCGATCTTGTCTTTCGACTCTATTTGAATTACAATGCATTATGCATCAAAACGCTTCTTAGAAAACCGTGATTATAATATATATATATACCAAACTAATATCGACAAACATAATATCATCTGGAAAAAAATAAATTATTAAAAAATTAATAAAATCAAATAAAAAATAAATTATATAGTTTCATTTATGTAACTGCAAAACTATTTAAGAGATACGATTAGACTTAATAACTGCAACATATAACAAAAAATTCATTATCGAAAAAAATGTCCCACACAAATGTAAAAGTTCAGTACTGTATAATTAACATCACCAAATAAATATTTTATTTTTTACTTTCCATTAGAATTCAAATAATTTTTCAGTTAAATCATCACTGATACATATGTGTACCATAAAAAACGCATTACCAGCTCAACTTAACAATGAAAAACTAATAAAAAGCCAACCGCTCCAGAAATAAAATTAATATCCAGCAGATAAAATTGATGAAAATTTACATACTAAAGAAAACGTACATTACTACATTCGGCTTAAAAAATAAAAGAATTCCGTTTTCTTACACCTAGACCTAGTACGAGGGTGTGGGTCTCCGGTGGGTGTGTGGGTATCGATGAAGAGAGAACCCACACCTAATAGTAGGACTTGAGGACATACGAATACCCGCCCATAGTAGGACTTGAGGACCCAACGATATCCCTCAATAATAGAACTTGAGGACCCAACGATATCCCTCAATAATAGGACTTGAGGACCCAAGGGTACCCTCCAATAGTAGGACTTGAGAACCCAAGGATACCTCTCAATAATAGGACTTGAGGATCCAAGGGTATCTCCGAATAGTACCGCTTGAGGACCCAAGGGTACTCTCCAATAATAGGACTTGAGGACCCAAGGGTACCCTCCAATAGTAGGACTTCAGAACCCAAGGGTACCTCCCAATAATAGGAGTTGAGGACCCAAAGGTATCTTCAATAGTAGGACTTGAGGACCCAAGGATATCCCTCAATAATAGGACTTGAGGACCCAAGGGTACTCCCAATAATAGGAGTTGAGGACCCAAAGGTACCCCCAATAGTAGGACTTGAGGACCCAAGGATACCCCCCAATAGTAGGACTTGAGGACTCAAAGGTGCCCCCAATAGTAGGACTTGAGGACCCAAGGATACCCCCCAAGAGTAGGACTTGAGGACTCAAAGGTGTCCCCAATAGTAGGACTTGAGGACCCAAGGGTACCCCCAATAGTATGGCCGTTACCCCGTTCGTCGGTAACTGGTAACGGTAACTTCCCACCCCTAATTATGGATACCTGCTTTATATCAAAATATAGTTTTAAACATAGACTACTATGCAAGTGAACCGGTAACCGGTCTGAACCGATTACCGGTTCAACGGTTACCAGTTCAGACCGGTCACCGGTTCATACCGGTGACCGGTGCACCGGTTACCGGTTCCTGCCGGTTACCGGTGCAGGCCGGTTATCGGTTCAACGGTTACCGATTCCTACGATCAAGCGGGGACGAATCGTCACCGTTGTATCCCTACTTGTCATCACTGTCTGAGAATATTACACTTGTTGGAAAAGCGATTCTTAAAGTCTTAGTGAAAGCGAATAATTATACTATCTCTTTTTTTTAAGGTTCATCTATGGCAAGCAGTTCGATCAAGACGAAGGTTGCCGAAGATAAACGTCCGTTATGTCGATTTGCAAATAAAGGAACATGTCGGGAAAAAAGTAATGAATGCAAATATCGCCATCAACGATGTGAGAATTTTGAATCGTGTTCAAACTTAAAGTGTCTTTTGGCTCATGCAGAAAGAGCGACTATTCCTAAGGCTTGTCCATCAATTTCTGCCACCAGTCCAATTTCATCTGATTTAGAAGAGTACGAACGAGATCTACCTGTGACTTATTCAAATCGACATAGAAGTGATTCTGGTTCGTCAATAAATTCAATTCAGTCGATAAGTTCAACGCAATCGATGAATATAAAACCGAAGCCATGCTTTAACGGGCTTAAATGTTTTAATGTAGACTGTAAATTTGATCATCCAGATAGATGGAATCCTTGCATTGATGGAATAAAATGTGAAAAGTATGAATGCACAGCCAATCATCCGTATAAACGAAAACCAAAATGTCGAGATGGTATGAATTGTAAAAGTAGTAATTGTAAATTTTTACATCCTAATACACGTGCTCCGGAATGTCCTTTGCGTGCAAAATGTCAAAATTGGAATTGTTTAAAGATACATCCACGCTCTCGAGCTCGTCCTTGTACTGATAAGGAAAATTGTACGAATTTGGCTTGTTTATGTCTACATCCACCAGAACGTGCTAAATTATTATGTCCACTTGGAGCTGATTGTCGTGATCTTGTGTGTAAACTCAATCATCCATCCGAACGGCCACCAATATGTGATCAA